TCGACCCCTCTGGTTTCCTCTCTGCTCCTCTCCCTCTCCCATGCCAGATTATTGCGCAGAAGATCCCAGACCTCAGAGCACAGCATCTGTGAGCATCTCAGCATTCCCTATAAAAGATGCCACTGAACCCAGGGGGATCCACCACCAAACTATACCCCCAGCCCTTTCCATTTTTAAGATGGGGTCTTATGGGCTGGGGTTGTGGCTCAGCGTAGAGCACTCACCTAGCTAGTGTGAGGCCCTGGGTTCGATCCTCAGCACCACATAAAAATAAATAAATAAAATAAAGGTATTGTGTCCAACTACAACTAAAAAAAAAAAAAAGTGGGGGGGCTGGAGTTGTGGCTCAGTGGTAAAGCGCTCACCTAGCATGTGCAAGGCCCTGGGTTCGACCCTCAGCACCACATAAAAATAAATAAATAAATAGCCAAAATGAAGGTATTGTGTCTAACCAAAAAATAAATTAAAGAAAAAAAAAGATGGGGGGGCTGGGGGTGTGGCTCAAGCGGTAGCGCGCTCGCCTGGCATGCGTGCAGCCCGGGTTCAATCCTCAGCACCACATACCAACAAAGATGTTGTGTCCCCCGAAAATTAAGCAATAAAAATTATTTAAAAAAAAAAAAAAAAGATGGGGTCTTGTTCAGTTGCTCAGGCTGACCTCAAACTTGTGATCCTCCTGCCTCAGCCTGCCGAGTAGCTGGGATTAGGCACGCTACAGTGGTGCATACTTCTCAGGAGGCTGAGTCAGGAAAGTCTCTTGAGCTCAGGCTTTAGAGGCAAACCTGGGCACCACAGCAAGACCATGTCTTAAACATACACACATACAAGCTCAAAACAATGATCCCACCTAAAATATGTAACACAAAGTCCTTGACATCAGTGACTATCAAGGGACAGTTTGAATTTGTTCCATTAAGTCCTAAGCTTTCTGAAGTCTGCATTTGAGAACCTTATTCGCAATTGCTGGAAGTTAGGAAGAGCCCAGCTGCTCCTGGACTGGTGAGGAAAGCAATGAGTCTCGATGTCCAGGGAACAGAAGGTTGCCAGGCGACATAGAGAAAGAGGCACACACACACCAGCCGGGTCACAGACTCGGTGCTGCGGAGGCCACCAGTACGAAACTCTAGAAAAGGCAAAACTGGAGGGAGAGCAAACAGACCTGCTTGCAGTAACGCGGAAGGGAAATGACTGCCAAGGGACAGACGGGGACTTTCCAGGGTGATGGAAATATCGTTATGACAAGGTGGCCATCATACAGGTGTACACATGTCACAACTCAGCGAACTGCAAGTTTAACATAGGCATGTTTTAGTGTCGGTACATCCCACCTCACAGGTGGTGGTGCTGCTGGTATCCCTGCAGTGTGGGGACTGAACGGAAGGCCTCAGGCATGCTACATGATCTCTGAGCTACATAAGCCTTTTTTTTTTTTTTTTTTTCAATTTTGAGACACGGTCTTGCTAAGTTGCCCAGGCTGTCCTCCCTGCCATCCTCCTGCCTGGGCCTCCAGAGCCCTGGGATCACAGGCAAAGACTGCATCTTCACTAGGGTCCCCACATCCCAACAGGAAGGGAGCCAGCTGTGTACATTACTTCCTGGACTGTTCAGAATATTAGCTGAGTGATTTCTGTAAATCAGATTCTGTTTTCACTAATTCCATTGTAAAGCCAAAGATGGAGCCCCAAGGGAAAATGTTCCAACCCCACAACATACTAAACATCACCACTCAACCAGCATCCACTGGCATGTCTAGGAGACCCAGGCTCCAGGGCAGGCATTCTCGGTCACACATACAGAGCAGTCCCTGCTCTTGGGCGCTGCTGCAGATCTGCATCTGAGAGCAGGACAAGCAAAACGACCCCCGCACACCTCACCCACCTCCCCACAAGCAGGCTCTGAGGTTATGTGCCTGCTAGGCCCCTTATACCAAGTCTCCCTCCTCTGGCACAGCTGTGGGAGGGCTGGCTGTATCTCTCTAGGCTGGCTCAAAATGAGGAGGGCACGACAATCCACAGCCCACACGGGCCTGACTGCCCAAGCTGTGGCTCTCATCCTTTGTCTGGGTGTGTGTGTGTGTGTGTGTGTGTGTGTGTGTGTGTTGCTGGGGACCAAACCCAGGGCCTTGTGCATACACAGCAAGCACTCTACCAACTGAGCTATATCCCCAGCCCGGCTCTCTCTTTTATAAGTGTCAGATATCGCTTCTCACAATACTTACAAGACAGGTACTGTACAATTTCAATTTATAGACACAGACATCAAGGTCTGGTGAGATTAAGGAATGTGCCTGAAGCAAGAGGCAGAGCTGGGCGTGGAACTCAGGCCATTGGCCTCCTGGGCCAGTGCCCCATCTGTCACATAAAGAGCTTCCACTGACTTGCAAGGTGCCAAGCAGTGGGCACTCGGAGCTACCGACGAGCAGCAGGGGCTTGAAGGTGAAGCAGCGTGCACAGGTCACTCTGTGTCCACAGGGCAGAGGCCAAACCCATCCCTCCCTCAGGCCTAGGATACAGAGCTGCCTACACCCCTGCCCACACTTCCCTTTAAAGCTACATTCCTTCAATAGCTTCTGAACTGAGACATGTGATTACCCTAGTTTCTAGGAGGGTGAGGACTCTGGCACCCTTGCCCTGCTAGGCTGTGACCACCCTCAAGACAGGCAGACTAAATTTTCCACTCCTCAGCTTCCCTCCCAGGGCTCTGCTCCTGCTGGTGTCCAGTGAAGAGTGAAGTCTTGTTAAAATTCATGGCTTGGATGAGCCAGGCCAGGTGGCTCCTCTTTCAACTCAGGTGCTGGCTCAGATGTCCTTAAAGGGCTCCCTACCCTGCTATACCCACTCTCCGGTGTCCAGGGTTTCCAAGGGGCAAGCCAGAGTGACCACCACCCTTTCCACTCCCTTCCCTTGGCATTCATGTTCTTTGCCTGAGGCTCACCTCAGCCAGGATCCTGCTCTGGCATCCCTCAGCCAAGGCTGCCACTTAGGGACAATATGCGTCTGTCATTCTGGGGTAGCAAAAGGCAATCTTGTAGAAGCAATGGGTAAGAAAAAGTACACACATGTGCTTGTCAATTTATGCAAGTGTCTAATGCTGGAGAAAAACTATTCGAAGCTAGTTGAAAAAAAGTATTATTGACTGCTAATCATCACCCTGATAAGAAGTAAATAAGAGCCCAGCCCTTCTAGGGTAGATTCAGACCACTATTTTCTTTATTTGCCAGAGGAGTGGAAGAACACAGTAATCAGAAGACCGGGGCGGGACCTGCCTCCAGAGCTCTGGAGCTGGATGAGTTTATTGAGTTACTCCATTTCCTCCTCTACACAGCAGGAGGGGTGGAGGTACCCACCCCCACCCCCTCCAAGGAAAGCTGGGCAAATTTTGAGATGAGACAGCTAAAAACCTTCTTGTAAACAATGAAGCCGAAGATGCCCCTAAATCAGCCTGATAAGAAGACCTGATTCCAGGCCCATCTACATCCAAATATCAGTAATTGCTATCACCTTTGCCCCTGAAGGGCTGGAGTGAGTGGGGCCAGGAGAGCCACCTAACAAAGAAAATTAATCAGGGCTTCCCCAAAGACTTCCCTCTAGGAAAATCAAAACTGACCTTGAAGTGGGAAAAGGACCTCAGCCAAGACAGAAGGCTAACTGAGCTCCACTTAACAGCACTTACCATACACCCAGCCTTTTATAACATCCACAGGAAAAGTAACCTGTCCCATTGGAGTATGGTTTGGGCCCAAGGTCAGCGGGATGCCCAACTTCTGCATTTGAGGCACCCACCCCCAAAACTCTCACTAGGGGTCCATGGCAGGTGGCCACAGTGGCCAGACTCCTGGTCCTTACTTAGCTCATGCACAAATGCCAGCTTTCCCCGGCTTCCATTCTGCCAGACGCAGAGTAACCTTGAGGCTGCCCTCCCCGCTCCTATGAGAAACCAGTTCGCTCATGATCTCCAGCTTCCTCTGGGGGTTCCGGTTCTATCTAAGCTGGACCCATGGAGGAAGGATGGGGGAATGGAGCATTATTACAACAATACTTGCCCCTATTGTGTAAGATGCTTCCAGGCGGATGCACCACTCATTCCCTACACCTGCTCTCCCCTCCACCAAAGCAGAGCACTTCAGAGATGGTAGATCTGCAGCCCCCTCCCACAGGGGTACACACCCACGAGCTCGAACGACTCCGGGCATCTACGTGCATCTCTGGATGCTCAGGTTCGCTCAGGCACCGCGGCCGAGGTAACCTCCCGAATCCTGCAGGAGCCGGGGCTGGGGCGCGGGGCCCGGGGCGCGGCGAGTTGGGCACGCCACCAGGGCTGTGCGCCGCCCCCGCCCGTCGCCGGCCCGGTCCGGTCCCGCTTCTTCCACCCTAAGCCGGGTGACGGCGGCCGCCGCCCTTGGGATGCGGCTGGGAGGCCGATGGGAGGAGCCGACGGGGCCGCCCGGTTCCGCAGCATCGCGAGGCGCATCCCTGCCAGGGAGGGGGTTCCGGGCATCGGCGCCGGGAGGCGAGGGGTGAACACCGCCCGGCCCGCAGCGGATGCCGGGGGGGGGGGGGGCGGCATCCCCGGGCGAGGCCGGCGGGGAAGGGGTGGCGCGGGCGGCGGGGGCCGGGCCGGGGGCGCCGCGGGCGCGCGCCGCCGTCTTACCGGCAGATCTGGATGGCGGACGGCGTCTCGGCGGCGGGGCCCGACATGCTGGCGGCGGCGGCGGCGGCGAAAGCAACGGGGGCGGCGGCCGGGGGCGGAGGGAGCAGAGCGCAGGTGTCCGGCGGGCCCGGCGCGGAATGAATGAGCCCGGGCGGCGCCATGGAGGGGGAGGGCAGAGGCGGAGCCATCGCGCCGGCGAGGCGGGCCCTGCGCGCCGGGGGCGAATCGCGCGCGGGCGCCCCGCGCTGGCCCCGCCCCCTCTCTGGCCCCGCCCCGCGGGCCGCCAAGGCCGCTGGCGCCGGCGCAGGCCGCGCGCTCCGACGACGGCGGGGGCGGCCGTGGGGGCGCCGCTTCCAGAAAGTTCGGGGGCGGTTGCGCGGCACCGCTGCTGGGCGGGCACGCGAGCCGCAGCCGGCCCGAGCGCGCCGACCGGTAGCCAGGTCGCAGAGCCCGGCGGGCGCGGGCGCTGCCTGCCTGCGCCGCGGCCGAGTGAGTGCGGGGCGTTCCCTACGCCCGCGCGGCGATTCGCTGCCGGCGCCGGGCCGGGCTCCGGGTGAGGTCAGCAGGGAGGGCCCCGAGTGCCGGCACGCAGCCGAGAGCTGCCCGCCCTGCCCCCGCGCCCCAGCGGTGCCCCCAGGGGAGCCACGAGGTCGCGAGAAGCCTCTTCCTAAGGGGGACGCGGGGGGGGCTGCTACTGCGGAGCGCGTGGCCATAGCAGGGACCGGACTTTGCCGCAGCGGCGCTGAGTGCCCCAGTGGGCCACAGACCCGAGGGCGCACCGGACCGCGCCGCCCGGCCGGACTCCAGAAACACATCCTGGAGGCACCCAGCGCCAGCTTGGGGTGCACGTGCCGCGCGGAGCAGCCTGAAGCCTGTCGCCCTGCCACCGAAGGAGGAAGAGGCGGTCACCCCTACATGCTAGCACAACAGCCGTTTACCTGCTAAGCAGTTGCTTTATTACGTTTTCTACATTGAACGTGGATTTGTACTCAGATTTAAGAAAATAGAGCTCACAAAACGGAAGCTCCCTGGGACGGTTTGAGCGATCCATTTATGGAGCGAGGAAAGAGCTGTGCCTCATCCTGGATGCTTCTGCAGAACCCGAGAGAGTGAAAGCAGCCCTTAGGCACGATCTGCATCTCCCAGGGCAGAGCACAGCCCCTAAGAGTAAGCTTCAGGGCTGAAAGTGTAGCTCAGTGGTAGAAGCCTCGCCTGGCATGCCGGAAGCCCTCAGTTTGATCCCCACCGCTGGGCCTTTGAATCCTGTTTTCTAGGTTGAGTTAAGGTGACTCAACATCAAGGGCCATCAAATCAACCTATTAAACACCTCTTCCCCATAAGCGTCCTGAGTCAGAAGGCACTTTCCGTATCTGATAAATGGGAGTAATTCTGCAACGCGAATGAAAGAAGGTGCGATTCATGAGTAATTGCTGGGGAGTTTTAAAAAGAATCAAGACTCAGTACCTTTAATGCCAGCTCCTGGAAGGCTTCTTCTAGCTCCCACCTCCAGCCACCTAAAGCGATAGGGAGGTTTACAAAAGAGACTATCGACAGAGAGAGAGAGAGAGAACGCCAGGGAGTGGACTTTTATTGGGGAACAAAAAATTCCAGGAAAAATCCCATGCAATGAAGGTTAAGGGGGGCAGCATCCCAAGGTCAGGGGCGACGATTGGGTCTTCAGGGCAGTGGACAGGCACGCCTCTGCACGGACAAGCCCTCAGACCTGGGAAAGGGTGGGGAAAGCTCTAATACAGCTGTGTCTAAGCGCCTCTCACCCAGCCAGGGAAGTAACTCAAATCACGTGCGAGGATAGCCTCCCACAAGTAATAACATGTGCTTCTCTGTCTTTTATGAGCATTAAACATCATGCATGCACTGGGCATAGCAGGTGAAACTAGGACTTCCCCTTGGTTCTCTTCCCATCTCTAACTTCTCTAACTCTGCCACCCTTCCCAGGCAGTAAATGCAAAGTAGCAAGCCCTACCCTGTTGACGTGGGTGAGCTCAGACCTGAGAGAATTCCTCAAAAAGTTCCAACACTTTATTGAGAGATAAATCAGGGTCCCCAAAGCCTGACTTGACCCCCACCCTGGAGTAGAACAATTCCTAGACCAGAAGTATGGGTTGAGTGGGTCACGATTAAATAGCCTGGCCCCCTCCAGAAGGCGAAAAAGATCTCAACCCCTGTAATATTAGGGAAGGGTGTGGCTATCCTTTGGCCCATGATAGTGTCATGGGAATTCATTGTCAATTCATTTTATAGATGCCAGATAGGCATGGGAAAGAAAAGAGCCCAGCCCCAGGAATTGTGTCCTGATTCCATAGAAAACAGTGCTCCGGATGATTATTTTGAGGCTGCCCTGTCTTGAGGATAGTCTGGGGGGCCATCCCTAAACTGAAACTGAATTATTATTATTTTTTTTTTTAGAGAGAGAGAATTTTAATATTTATCTTCCTTTAAGTTTTCAGCGGACACAACATCTTTGTTTGTATGTGGTGCTGAGGATCGAACCCGGGCCGCATGCATGCCAGGGAGCGCGCTACCACTTGAGCCACATCCCCAGCCCCCAAAACAGAATTATTTTAGCCACAGTGCTAATGGGTTTGCACTGAGCTCTCTCCTTCCACAGTCTCTCACATTGTTTTCTGCTTTCTCCTTAAGCTCCTGGGCCTTTAAATTCCTCACTTTGAGCAACACTTCTTAAAAGAGCTGCTTGTGCCACAGCTGCCGTCCTCCCCTCCTCCCAGTCCCCTTTGAACCCATGCCATCTTGATTTCTGTCTCTACTGCTCCACTTAGCAGAGTTTCTTAATTCCTTCCCAGCTGCTAAACCCAATAATCCCTTGTCAGACAGAAGTCACCTTCCTTGGGGCTCAGTTGGTACAGTGCTTTCCTCACATGCACAAGGCCATGGGTTCAATCCCCAGCACCACACAAAAAAAAAAAAGTCATCTTCCTTGGTTGCAGCCTTGAGTGACATTGTCCCTCTTCTGGAAGCCCTTCTCCCTTGCTTCCAGTACCCCCACCTTGCTTTTCCTCCCTTTTGCTGACCATGCTACTCAGTCTGCTCTGCATGGTTGCCTCGCTCCCCTGCCCTCTTCTCCTCTCAGGACTTTGGAAAGGCCTAGCAGTGCCTGTACTGTCCAGGTCCCACCCTGTCTTGAGAGTTAATTCCCATCTACACAATAATTGGCTCTGGCCAGCCCAGCCTCTCCCCTGAATTCCAGATTGACATATCCACTGCCTGAAGCTGTTCACCTCCTGCTCTTCTGTTCCTCACTTCCCAGAGCTTGCTCCCCTCGGGTCTTCCCCCAGCTCTGTGCCTTGCAACACAGAGCTTCCACGTACTTCCTTCCATATGCTCAGGCCAAGAGCCAGGAGTCATCCAACACTCCTTTCATGTCCCTCGTGCACACCATCAGTAAATCCTGCAAACTCGATATTCAAAATAAATCTAGAACTGATGGCTTCTTCTCATTGTGGGGTTCAAGACTACCGCCGCCCACTTCATCTCCTGCTCCAGCCACTCTGCCCTCCCTTGATCATGCCAGGCATGCTCAGAACCTTGGCTTCTGCCCCTCCAGGCTCCTGGAAGAGTGCCTAGCACGTAGTGGATGCTCCATAAAAATGTCATCAACAACTCAATCTGGAGAGATGCTCCTTGACTTATGGGATCACGTCCCAAAAACCCACAGTGAATTGAAAATATCTTCAGTGAAAATCCATTCAACACATCTAACCACCTGATCACAGCCTCGCCTACGTCAGCGTTGGGACACTCACATCCACCTGCAGTTGGTCAAATCATCCATCACAAACTGTTTTATAATCTGTTGAATCATGCAATTACTGAGTGACTGTAATCTCCCCAAATGCTGGCAACACAGTCCACTGTAGGGTACCTCAGGATCATCTTCCCTTGGGATCTTGGCTGCCTGGGAGCTATGGCTCACTGCCACCACCCAGCCTCACAACAGAGGATGGTACCATCTATCGCCAGCCTGGGAAAGAATCACAGTTCAAAATAAAAAGTACGGTCAAGTGCATACTGCTTTAACACCATTGTAAATTGATAAATCATGTCAAATCATCCTCAGAGGTCATCTGTAAATTGTAAATCTGTAAATTGATCTGTCCATGGCAGATATATCCATGGTCATTTTGAAAAAAGAAAAAAGCACAGCAGAGCACACCTGAAGCCCGGGACTCAGGAGGCTGAGATAGGAGGATCAAGTTCCAGGCCAGCTTAGGCAACTTAGTGAGGCCCTGTCTCACAACAAATAAAAGGGGGTCTGGGGTGTAGCTCAGTGTACAGAAAAGGGGTCTGGGTTTACTCTCCAGTATACAGAAAAAAATACCTGTGAGCCAGGCATGGTGGACACCTGTAGTCCCAGCTACTCAGGAGGCTGATGCAGGAGAATCTCAAGCCCATGAGTTTGAGACCAGCCTGGACAACACAGCAAGATCCCATCTCAAAACAATTATATAAATAAAACTTAATTTAAGTTTAAAAAATACTTTAAAGGGGCTGGGGTTATGGCTCAGCAGTAGAGTGTTTGCCTCGCATGTGCAAGGCTCTGGGTTCAATCCTCAGCACCGCATAAAAATAAATAAAGATTTTGAGTCCAACTACAACTAAAAAATAAATACTAAAAAAAAAAAAACGCTTTAAATGTATTTTTAAAATAACATTCCAATTTTTATGGAATGATACTTATAAAATTGCTGATAGTGGAAAACTTTGGGAAAAAGGTTTTTACTTTCACTTTATATATTTTTGTACCATCATCACCTGGTCATTTATTTTAGTATTTTTTCATGTCAATGTTGAGTATAGAATATGAAACAATGGAAACTCATGCACAGATGGTGGGAATAAAGTCAGTATATCCACAATTTTATTAAGCCACAAAGAAAAATGAAATTATGACATTTGCAGGAAAATTGATGGAACTAGAGACCATCATGTTAAGCAAAATGAGTCAAACTCAGAAGGTTAAGGGTTGTATGTTTTCTGTCATATGCAGAAGCTAGAAAGGAAAAAAGAAAAGCAGGGAGGATCTCCTAAAAATCACAGGGGATCAGTAGAGAAAAGGGACCGGGGTGGGAGATAGGGCAGGAGGGGAGTGTTGGGGCGTGATATAGCCAGTGTGTCGTTCTACCATGTGTATGGACAACTATGTGACAACAAACCCCATCAATATGTACAGCTACAATGCATCAATAAAAACGTGGAGGGGAAATCAAAGAGATAAAATGCATAAGTTCATAATTCCGCATGTTAATTGACCAATGCTTAAAATATGTACTTTTATCTTGAACATAATAAAACATCATGAGGAGATTCTCAAAGTCAGTATATCCTCTTTGCAAAGCAGTTGAAAATAAATTACTAAAGTTAATACTAGCCACCCCATTTGATCTGCAATTCCACAATTAGGCATATGTACTATATATTTAGTATTGATGCACTCAGATAGGCTTTAAAAAGAGTTTCATAAAAACACTGTAATAAGGCAGGCATAGGGACACAAGCCTATAATACCAGTGATTCTGGAGGCTGAGGCAGGAGGATCATAAGGTCAAGGCCAGCCTCAGCAACGTAGCAAGGCCTTAAGGAACTTAAAGAGACCATGCCTCAAAATAAAAAATAAAAAGGCCTGGGGTTGTGGCTCAGTGGTCAAGTACCCAAATAAAATCCAAGCATCTGACAAATGGGTCTAAATGGGTCTATGGACCATTTTTTCCTTCATATTTTTAGGAAAACATGTAGTGATGCCTATTGGTTAAGGGTCTTGGACAGGCCAAATCCTGCATTCCCATTCTGGATTCACACCTATGTGGACAGGTCACCTACCCATTCTGTGTCCATGTGCTTCCTCAGTGGGAGGGTACACTGTTGGGGTAACTCAACAGATAAGGGGTAAGATGAAGTGATGCTCTCTTAATGCCTCAGCGATTAGCATAACCCATTGAGACCTCACATGTGCCAGGAGAGTGCTCCACCACTGAGCTGCACCCCAGCTTAAGAAAGGTCATGTTTTAAACTGAAGACATGTTTGGTTTTTTTTTTTTGGAGAGGGTTATTAGGGATAGAACTCAGGGGCACTCGACCACTGAGCCTCATCCCCAGCCCTATTCTGTATTTTATCTAGGGTCTCACTGAGTGCTTACTGCCTCTCTTGCTGAGGCTGGCTTTGAACTCCCAATTCTCCTACCTCAGCCTCCCAAGCCACTGGGATTATAGGCGTGTGCCACAGGAGCTAAGGCAGGAGGATCACAAGTTCAAAGCCAGCCTCAGCAATTTAGCAAGGCCCTAAGCAACTCAGCAAGACTCTTAAATTTAAAAAATATTATTTTTACTTAGGGGGATGTGGCTCAGTGGTTAAGCTCCCCTGAGTACAAGCACAGGTGGTAGGGGGCAGTAGGGAAAAGTCCTAATGAATATGGGGCATGTGACCCAAGAATGATCAGCCTGGAGTTGAGCACTGTCAGGGTGACCCTCTCCTGGATGTGGGGTGAGGCAGAAGGCCTGTACGTCACAGGAAAACTCCAGGTCCTGAGAAGGGCTTCTGAGAGGGCAGAGGCCATCTCCAGCTTGTTGCTGCCCTGGGGTGGAGAGCAGGGCCTTTGAGCACAGGGAGGGACATCCAGCCACCTGGGTCCATGTCCCATCAAGGTTACTTCTTGGGCAGCCTCAGCCAACAGGTGGGGTCAGGAGCCCTTCTGGACTAGTACCAACCAGAGAGGCGTGGCCCGGTGCAGGACCAGAGCCACATGGGGGACCATGTGGCCTTAGGTGAGCACTCAGTTGTCTGCACATTGGTTCCCTTGCTGGAAAAAAAATGGGGAGCCCCTAGTACCTGCCCATGGCTTATCACAAGGAGTACATAAGTTGATGTTCTAAAGTGCTTGGAGGGTGGACTGCATGGTATGTGAATTAGATCTCACGAAGATCTTGCCCCCCAAATTATATATCATACAAAAGAACGAGCCTGGAACAGGGCTGGCCCAGAGAAAAGACTTTGTGATCCCACTGGTGGATCCTGGCTGCCTTGAGGTCTGGAGGAGGCAGGGAGGGGTTGACCAAAGAATTCGGATCGCCTCGGTCCTGGAAGAAGACTGAGGCATTCAAGCTGAGACACAGGAGAGAAGGACACTGCAGGGTTTCACAGGGTCTCTCTGTGTTCCCAGGAGTCAGGCAGAGGATGCGGCCAGCAGAGAGGGGCCTCGCCCCTCCGTCCACACGACTCATCTGGGGTTTCCAATGTAGTATCCAACTATTGTGCTCCACCCCAGGGTTGACGGACGGTGGAGATGCTGCCCCCGAACTGAAAGGAAGGACTCTGAGCATGTTACCTGCAGGGAACCTATGTGAATGCTGCAAGGTAGCCCTCTGTTCCCAAAGGCTCGACGGACACCTCAGAGCCCACACAAGCACTGCTGGGAGAACAGATCCCAGACCTCCTGCTACCCGGCTGGTTCCTATCTTAACATTCAGAGTCACATGCTCTGCCCCCAGCACAAACCACTTCAAAGACACCTAAAACTAATAAAAGATCCACTTGCAAGCAGGACCTGTAAACCAAGAGGAAAGGCCAAGAGTAAATGGGTCATTACACGGAGGAGAAAAACGCCCCCTAGTGTAGAGCAAGCATAGAGACCCTATCCATTTCCCAGAAGAGGCATTTAGAAATCATTTCATTGGCTTTAAGTAGGTCAGACTTTAAATCTGGAATTACAGCCATTGCTGGCACCTGCAAATTAATAGGGTTGGTGAGAGGAGAGCTTCGGAGGGCCTCTTGCCGTTGACACTGGGCTTCTGTGAACTGCAGGGCCCTGGGTATGTCTGTGGCCCTGTGGCGTCACCTAGGGGCAAAGTAAATTTCCACCTGCTCCATGCAGCTCCTTGAAGCCGGTTCCACCTTGGGAGCTCTTGCTGCTAAGCAGAAGAAACCTTCCCCTACTCACCTTCATGTGTGTGTTTGTTTTTGGCGTGGGTCAGAACTGTTGGCCAACCCCAGGGTCTCACGCATGCTGGACACTAGCTACACTCCCATCTGCCTTACTCAAATTTTTAGCAGGAATTCCACGATTCTGACATAAACCACAGAGACTAGGGCAACTCTACATTCCCCCCACATAAAATGATAAAAAGCGGGAGTCTGATTATGTTTCTTAGGGGACTTGCAGAACCGTGGCTCCATGCAGCACCTGATTACGGGCCCGGGTTGCTAGAGGCGCTTCACTTGAGCCCCGGCCAAGGTGCTGAGAGCAAGCAGGGTGTGAAGAGCAAGCTCCACCTGGAGGCAACTGATACTCCCAACCAATGAAACCAGCTCGCTTCTGCTGTCCAGGGAGCCAGCCTGGTGACATCCTGCAGGAGCTGTGTCTCCCACAGTCAAGCCCCAGTGAAAGTCCTGCCTGCGTGTTCACTTGCCCGACTTACTGTCTCCACGGTCATCGTCATCAGAAGATCCCTTGTCCAGCATCATCTTGACTCAGTCGTTTCCATAACTGCAACCTCTCCAAAGTCTTAGTGGCTGAGGTGGCTGTCTTGACCACACCCACCACTCCCTCTGTGCCCAAGCTGCAGACCCCCTGGACTCTACCAAACCTCTCCACTGCCCAGCCATCTCTCCTCTCTCCACCCCTTTGTGCTCTCTTCTCACTTGCAGACTCCATAGCAGTCCCTGCATCATTCCTGGACATGCACCCTCGAGTCCCTGGGACACTCCCACTTGGCACTATTGGGGCAGTGAAACACAGCCTCCCCTCAACCATCCAACTGAGCACTCATTCCATGCCTGCAGCCAACCGTGCAGCTGAACTCAGCTGGAGAGAAGCACAAAGACTGCCTGGGCTGGGGCTGCAGCTCCAGGGTGGAGCGCTTGCCCAGCAGGCATGAGGCCCAGGGTTCCATCCACAGAACGGGGCCAGAAGCTGGGAACGGGAAAGATCTGCTCAGGCTAGACTCATATTTTAAACCCTTTTACCAAAGTACATCATACCCCAGAAAAGTGCACGCCTTACAGGCACTTTTTTTTTTTTTTTTTTTTTTTTTTTTTTTTTTTTTAAAGAGAGAGTGAGAGAGATAGAGGTAGAGAGAGAGAGAATTTTTTTTTTTTAATATTTATTTTTTAGTATTTGGCGGACACAACATCTTTGTTTGTATGTGGTGCTGAGGATCGAACCCGGGCCGCACGCATGCCAGGCGAGCGCGCTACCGCTTGAGCCACATCCCAGCCCCTTACAGGCACTTTTGAAAGATTTTCATAAAGTGAACAGACACATGTAACTAGCTCCCAGTTTCTTAAACAGAACAGGTCCGGGGTGCAGCTCTGTGGTAGGGCACTTGCCTAGCTTGTGCAATTTTCTGGGCTCCGTCTCCAGCACTGAAAAAAAAATTCAGAACCTTGGCAGCACCACTTGTCTTCATGCCTGTCTCCCTGACCAAGAGGCTGCCCTCTGGCTGCCAGTGCTAGATTCATGTTGTCTGCTTTTAAAAACTTTTAGTAAATGGAATCATATTATATGTACTTTTTTGTGTGTGCACACAGTACTGGGGATGGAACCTAGGGTGCTCTATCACTGAGCTCCACCCGCAGCCCTTTTTATTTCAAGACAAGGCTGGCCTCCAACTTGAGACCCTCCTCCCTCAGCCCCCCGAGTCGCTGGGATCACAGGTGAGTGTCACTGCATCCTGCTCCATCCTCTGTTCCCTCTTCCTCTTCTGCTCCCTTTTGGGTTGTGTGTACATTCTGGCACCTTAGTTATATCTTACCACGTCTGCAGTTCCCAACGTGTCCTCCATGGACCCATGGAGTCCCAAAGACCCTTTCAGGGGATCAAAATGATTTCATAATTACACTAAAATGCTATTGGACTTTTTGATTCCTGTTCAGTGTGGTGACTTTCCAGCTGCAGGCTGATGTGTGGCAAAAAATGTATAAAAGGAAATAACGATGCTCGGAAGATCTGTATGATATAAAATACCGGGAGCCAGTCTTTCCCAGATGATCGCTGCAGGATGCTACACTGTAGTCATGCATGAGTTAAATAACCATTCAAATGCCAGGTAGGGATTGGAGGAGAGAGCACTTGCCTAGTGTGCATGAGGCCCTGGGTTCTGGGCCCTAGATTTGTTCCCCAACACCCCAAAGAAAATAAAAAGGCAAGGTAGATCAATGGAGTTTAATGTAATAGAGCATAAAATACAACAATACAGTTTCATATTCTGCTCTGTAGCTAACCTTTGAGAAACTAGCACTTTCGAGGAACTGAGGCACACACCTGTAATCCCAGAGACTCAGGGGGCCAGTAAGGAGGATCACAAGTTCAAGGTCAGCTGCAGCAACTTGCAAGACCCTGTCTCAAAATAAAATATTAATAAAGTAAAGGGCTGGGGACATAGCTCAGTTGTAGGGTACTAACCCATCATGGCTGAGGCCCTGGGATCAAGCTGCAGTACTGCAGAAATCAAAAACAAAAAACTAGTACTAATTGAGCTCAGGTGTAGTATCAAAGAAAAATATCTGAAATTTACTGAAAATATTATTAAAATATTCTTTCCTTTCCCAATTATATTAGGCCATTTTTCTTCATCTCTTTTACCAAAACAACCTGCCATAACACATATAGGGCAGAAGCAGATGTGAGAGCCAGCTGTCTCTCATCATTCCACGTGGTAGAGATTTGCAAAACAATGCCATTCTTCCCAAATATTTTTGTTTTACTTTTTTTAAAATATTTATTTCTCTCTTTTTTTTTTTTAGTTGTAGTTGGACACAATACCTTTACTTTATTTATTTATTTTTATGTGGTGCTGAGGATCGAACCCAGGGCCTTGCACGTGCTAGGTGAGCACTCTAACGATGAGCCACGGCCCCAGCCCCTATTTTTGTTTTATTAAATGTAAAATAATAACAATTATTACTATTAGCTTTGGTGCTAGGAATTGAACTCAGAAGTGCTTTACCGCTGAGCTATGTCCCCATAGCAAGACAGGGTCTTGCTAAGTTCATTAGGGCCTCACCAAGTTGCTGAAGCTGGCTTTGAACTTGTGATCCTCCTGCCTCAGTCTCTAAGTCATGGAATTACAGGTGTGGACCACTATACATGACTGTAATTATTTTTAAAGTGAAAATGTTATTTATGCTGACATATAATTATTGTTGTTCACGAGTCAGTATATTCAAAATGTATGTCTTGATTGTTAATACAGTAAATAAAAATGGGTAAATCCCACCATAGGGGTCAGAAAGTGTTTCCAGGGCAGGGATGTAGCTCAGTGGCAGAGTGCTTACCCAGGGTATGGTTGGATCTGGAGTGTCCCCCAAAAGCTCACGTATTGAAGGCTTGGCCCCCAATGCAGTGACATTCAGAGGTGGGGTTTGGGGGGAGTAACTGGATCATGAGGTCCATATCAGTGGACTGTTGGAGGTGGTAGGAACTGGGAGGTGGGGCCTGGTTGAAGGGATGGGTCCTTGAGGTCCTGGGAGCACTATATCTTGTCCTTGGCGTCCCTCTTTCTCTCTTTCCCCACTTCCCGTCCCGGTCCCCCATTCCTTTCCCTCTCCCTCTCCCCCTGTCTCTACAGCCATGGAGCCAGCTGACCATGGGCGCAAACCTCTTAAACTATGAGCTAAAATACATCTTTTCTCCTTTGATTTGGTTTTCTCAGATAATTTGTCATAGTGACAAAAATCTGACTAATGCAACCAGCCTGTGTGAGGCCCCGAGTCTACCCCCAGTATCACATAGAAAGAAAGAATGTCCTCCAGCAATGACTGACTGGTACTAAGCTCTCATTCCTTGTGGTGCTCGTAACAAGTGACCATGGAACTTGGGGACCCTCTTGCTTTGTGTGCCTCTTGTCTTCTGTGTCCTCTCCTCTCTGGTAAGGTCAACAGCCGTTGGACTGAGGGCCCACCTAATCTGGTACGACTGCATTTAATCATACATGCAAGGACTCTATTTCCCAGTAGGATCACACCCTGAGGTTCCAGTGGGTGTGAATCTGGGGGATCACTATTCAACCCTTATGCCTGGTGCACTAGTAGACAGGAACGTCCTAAACAGTGTGACGATCTGTCAGGAAGCATAAGAGGAGGGGAGGGAAACCGGATGGAAGGGGTAACACTGGAAGACCAATCACTAGAGGTCAGGTGCTCCACAGCCGAGTCAGGGCACGCTGGGCCCTGTGACAAACGGCAGGGCCATGTCCCCTGAGGAGCCACAGGTTCTCTAGAACACCAGTGGGGCTAGATTCCGAGGTGCCGAGTCGAAGGGAGTGGAAATGCGTTTGGATAGGGGCGAGTGCTCTGCTTTGGCACTGCCCTCCTGGGAGGGTGGCTCCTGCCCTCACTAAGTGAGGCCACTGGTAGGAGGAGGGCTGCAGGGCTCAGAGAGGGGCCCCACTGCAGAGGATGTGCTGTATGAACCTGGAAACCCCCTGCTGGGACTAGGTCCTGCGCGGGGCTGAAGGGCACCATTTGCCAAATTAGTAAGGATGGCATGGCAAAGGCTCGCCGGCATCACCAAGAAGCAGGGCAGCAGCAGACAGTAGGAGATGCCGCTCTAGAATCAGGCTCTGTCGTGCTGCCTGGTGGACTCCAGAACTGCAGAGGCCCACGGCATGCCCAGCTGTCAGAGCCAGAGGGTCAGAATTATTGCCAAGACAGAGTGGCAGAGAGTGAGGGAGACAGCAGAGAGGGCCCAGCACTTTTAAGGGCAAAATGGATGCATAGTCACGGGGGCACTCACTTCCTGGTCTGTGCAATTAAAAGACACAAAGAATGGAGCCTCCGGGGACGGCCACAATTGTGAAAAGCAATGACTGCTTCTCCAGATTCCACACTCAAGACCAGTTTCAGACCCAGAAACCACCGATGGAAGGAAAGCTGGGTCCCCCAAAAGTCCTTGCAGCCTGTAGCAAATGGGTACAGTACGATTTCCAGGATCACAGGATCTAGGCTCTGAGCTCACGTCGATCCTGAGAAACCCAGAGTCTCATATGGGGACCGTCTTAGACCAGAGGCATGTGGAGGCTGGGTAATAGCTGCAGTCCTCACCCTGGCTGACTCACAGGGCCACTCACTGGGTTCTAGCCACTGTGGTTGACTGTCTGGTCCCTGGCTGTAGAGCTGCCGGCAGTCTTGATACTGGCCCAGCCCCACATCCGTTCTCTGAGTTGTGGGATGATAATAGTAGAGATCAAGTGTAAATTCTAAATGCCCCACAGAGATAGTCAATAGTAAATCAAAACAATCTATGATTCCAGGAGGGCCAGGCTTGGTGGCACTTCCTGTAATCCCAGTGACTTGGGAGGCTGAGGCAGGAGGATCACAAGTTTGAGGGTAATACAATGAGTCCCTGTCTCAAAATAAAAATGAAAAATTGCTGGGGGTACAGCTTAGTGGCAGCATGCCAGGGTTAAACCTCCAGGACCATAGGAAAAATCAAATCAAATCCCAGGGGATGGAAAAATTAATGCCATCTTAAAAGACCTAAAAGATGCATTGTATTGTCATTTAACTGACCAATCAGATCCTACAATAGCCAGATAACTCCAGGAGGGCTTCAGCAGACTCAATCAAGTCAGAAGCCCATTGCAGGAAGGGGCTTTTATTTTTGGTGGCAAAATTAACGTAAACTAAAATTTGCCAGTGTCACCATCTTTTTTTTCTCTTTCCTTTTTTTTTTGGTACTGGGGATTGAACCCAGGGCACTTAACCACTGAGCCACATCCCCAGCCCTTTTTAGTATTTTATTTTATTTAAAGACAGTGTTAGGGTATTAGGCTGATATTTGCTTAGGGCCTCACTAAATTGCTGAGGCTGACCTTCACCTTGAGATCCTTCTGTCTCAGCCTCCTGAGCGGCAGGGATTCCAGGATGCACCATACCTCCCGACTCATTGTCACCATCTTTAAGCGCCCGGTACAGTGGCATTGAGTACACCCCTCTTTGTGCCGCCATCGCTGCCATCCATCTCCAGAACTCTTTTCCTCTTGCTAAGTGGAAACTCAGTTCCCTTAGTGGCAAGCTGTGGTCTCCACTCTGCCCCAGCCCCTGCAACCCCGATTCTCAGGTGGATCTTTGCTAGGCAGGCTCGTCCGGCCTCAGGTGTGGTGTGTAGTCCCACTATTGACTCAGACACAGGACAAGAGAACCTCTGGAGTAGGGTGAGGAAATCTGAATTTATCAAGCTTACCAGATAGATAGGAAGGACAGGGTAAAAGAGAAGCCAAAACATCACCTCAATGACATGGGCGTGTGTGAATGCATGTCACAGCCTGTGGGGGCGAAGCCGCAGGAAGGCAATTATCCTGGTACTGCTGTCTGAGAAGTCCAGTCAGTGTTGGGCAGAGATGGATTCACCCCAGAGCTGCTGAGGCTCAAACCTGGGGCCCCTCAGGAGCACAGACATGGAGTAACAGATGTTCCGGGGAGGAGGGGAGACCAGGCACGACACCAGGAAGAATTCCCATGGAATTTTGGGTGTCTGGTAAATTGCTCAAAGAGAAACCAAACGGATGGGACGTGCATCTCCAAGTACCACCCATTTTATATGACATGTTTCTTTCATTCTGAATATTCATTTTCACCCTTAGGAGTTTACAGCCATCAAAAATCAGTCCCCTGGATCTGCCTTTGAGTTTTGAGGTCTGGGGTGGTTCTTGATTTTTTTCTTTTTTTAAGTCTGGCCTCGAACTCCTGGGCTCATGAGAGCCTCCTGCTTCAGCCTCCCGACTGCTCAGGACTGCAGGTGCGCGCCACCCACAGGCTGGTTCTTTGTCCTATGTTCCCTGAGATTTATTTTAAAAAATCCTAATATATACCGAACACCAAGATGACCGGCTCTGCTCTGGGCTCACTCTCCACAACCGGAGCAGCAGCGAGCACGTATTCTGTTTGGCATTTTCTTGCTTTACCGCCCGACTCCTGGGCCAGGGAACCCCTCATTCACGCAACCGGGTTCTGCGATCGGCGGTCCCGCCCCTGCTCCCTGCTGCCCCCCAGTGGAACTCGGGCGGCAGCACCGCGCGCGCAGGGCGTGTCCTCCGGCGCCTTTCTCACGCTCCGGAAACCATTCTTCACGTTTTATTGGAGCTGCTCTAAGCGCCTGGGGCCTTGCCAGGGCCTCCGAGAGCCCTGAGTGAAACTTGTTACTCACTGGGAACCCCCGGTGGGTGGCTGCCTTCTCCCCGACATCACATGCCCAGGCAGCTCTCCGAAAGGGCGGTTCAGCCTCAGGGACACGCTCCCTGAGGCACACTCTGCTCCCCAGACACAGCCACATTCTAGGGACCCACATAAGAACTAAAGCGGGGAGGGGGGTGCAGCTCAGCGGCAGAACGCTTGCTTTGCCTGCACCAGGCCCAGGACTCCATCCCCAGCTCCAGGGGAAATAAGCCCGTGGCTGGATCTGTTCTCCAGGACAGCTCTGCCAACCTGTATGTTTCTGGAAAGTAAATTTGCAAAATAAATAACTAAATAAGAAGTGAAAAGTCAATACGGGCTTGATGTGGTGGGGTGTGCCTGGACAGAGGCTTCCAGACCCCTGAGGAGGGCAAGACCACCCCTGGACCCTGGCCAAGACCACTGACCTTTTCCACTCTGCCAATCTAGCTGTGGCCATAAACTGGTATAGGTGTTGGGCATGAGGTGAGAAGGCCCTCTTTGCCACTGTCACCTCCAGAGGGGAGATCCCAAAGGGAGGGCTTAGGGGATGCCACAAGGCCTCGGGTTCTCCCGATTTTTCAGCAGATTCATAGGTTCATTCTGCTCCTGTCCCAGGTGAACCAGCAGGAGACTGACCTGCAGGAGACTCCATGCACAGGTTGGCAGCAAAACCTGTAAATGCCTGCGGGAGGATTTCTCCTTAGCAACCCACTCTTTAGCCTCACACCCATAGAGATGGGACTTGACCTCTCCCAAATACCTGGTGCCAGAGGAGCAGGTGGGGACCTGTCTCCTCAGGAGTACATGTTTCAGCAAGATGAGTTCCCAGACACCTCAGTGCTCTGACTGTCCTTGGGTCACAGAATCATTTCACCCACTGGTTTCATGAGAGAGAGAGAGACAGAGAGACAGACAGACATGGGGGCCTTTCCTTCAGATGAGATGTGGGGATCTTAAAATGCCCTGTGAGCTCCATGCTCCTCTGTGGGCAGTGGAGATAGATCTCAGTGATAAAGCCCCTGTTTAGCAAGCACAAGGCCCTGGGTTCAACCCCCAGTACTGGGGGGGGGGGTGGGAAGCCACAGAAAGAGCCACTGCCTGCACACTTTTGGCCATCAGAGGGGTCCTGCAGCTAGAGAGTTGCCAGGAAGAGGTGCCTGCCTGCCTTATGGAGGAGGCTGTGGGGTCCCTGCTGCATAAGCCCAGCTGAAATCTCCAGCCCAGTCCTCCCTGACAGCTCCTGCTCATGCCTGCTAAGAACCTCTGGCTTCTGCCTCCCGCCCAGAACTTTTCTTGCCTTGGCATGCCAGTGCCCAGCTGACTGCCCAACTCAGGTCCCCCAGAGCACCTGACCCTGTGTGTCACTGGTCTATCCACTCTTACCCCCCTCCCCAACTGCTTGTCCTGTAACCAGAGGGGACCGATCCAGTGCAGGTCATAGAATTGGGAGCCAAGATACGTGTTCAGATGCAAGAAGTGGCAACAGAGAGACTTCTGCCAATTCCCACCTGGTTTAAACCCATACTGAAAGTTTTTATTTCTGGAGACAAGAATCCTGTCCTCTGCGAGCCTGAAGCAAAGCTCTGCAGCCAAGGAGGAAGCTGGAGCTCACAGGGTGGGCATGGGCCAGGGGTTACCTGCCCCTTATGCTGAAATGAACTCTGGAAAGTGGGCCACATTTGTCCTTCCAAGAAGCACTGGCCTTCATGGAATAAATATTTAAAAGTGAACCCAGGGCTAAGCAACTCAGTGAAACCCTGTCTCTAAATAAAAATACAAAACAGGGCTGGGAATGAGGCTCAGCGGCCACATTCAATCCCCAATATCCCCCCCCCCCAAAAAAAAAGAGCGAGACCAAGGGCCCAGGGTGGGAGTTAAGCGAAAACTCAGGCTGGGCAAGCTTTAGCACCCTGCACCCAATCACACCTCTGTTCACTAGTCTACCATGTTTACTGAGCACCACTGTACACCCGGTGCCCTGGACACTCAGCCCCAGCCCTGCCCTCTGGGAGTTTATAGTCTAGTCATGGCCCATTGAAGCCTTTGGGGGCACCTCACCCTGTTGTCTTGATGTTCATTTCTTTTTCCAGGAATGCCCACAGCTTTCCCCACATCCTGTCACCCAAACCAGTGAGTTTTGCCTTCGTTCCTCTTGTGCCTAGGTCCCTAGCACAGGCTGTTGGTCTGGGGGCTGGGGGAGAACTCCCTATCTTCCAGCAATGCTCAGCAAGTCCCCCAGGAAATGACGAGAGTGACTGACAGTGGGCAGCAAGTCCCCCAACCCCCTCTGGGGCACCATTACCGGCATCCACAGGTACCCCCTGGGGTCCTCCCAGCGAGCCTCCTGCCTTTCTTAGGGAAGAAAGAAACTTGTTCTTAAGAACAATTTGATTCCAGTAACCAGTCCCCAGGAACTGTAGAGAAAGCAGGCAGGGGTCTCCTGTTCCCATTTCTGTCACCCTGTGGCACGGACCCTGTTCCACTCATACCGCACCACAGCTGTGCTGGGCTCAGGCCCTCCAAAGAGACAAACTTCCTTCTCATCGCACCCCTCTGTACACCCCCAAACTACCTTATGCTTGGGAAAATAAATCCTTCCAAGACCACCTTAGGAAGCCCTCACCCGCAGCCACATAAGTAACTGGGGAGGACAGCCTAGGAGTGGAGGTGACGGCTCTCCAGCCCTACATTTCCTTTACCTTTTTCTGATGCTCTGCGGAGCCATGGCAGTGACCAAAACCCCAAAGGCCATCACCTTAGATTTCCAAGCCCAGCTGGGCAGGAAGTAGGCCCAAGCAGGACTGGGCAGGCAGTGATCAGTCTAAGCAGATGGCTGCACCTGGCCAGGTGAGCTCCTGGCCCAGGCCTCAGTCTGGTGCCAGCCCTATGGCAGGTGCATCACTGCCCAGGCAGTTTGTGGCTAGCGCAGTTCCAGAGCCAGCTGGGACAGGGAGGGCTTGTTCCTCACCCTACAGCCACTTGCCCCTTCTCCTATCTAGACACAGCTCCCCTTATTTGTTCCGGCTGAATCCTTGAGGGCTGCAGTCTTCCACACGGGTCACAAACATCCCATTCCAGCCTTCATGTGGGTGCTAGGCTGGTCCCTCTTTATGGGAACAGTGGCCACCACCAAGAGCTTCGTTGGCCTGCCTGGGGCCTTCCAGTTCCCTTGCAGTCACCAGGGCCCGTGGACCGGCCAAGGGACTACCACGGCCGCCAGAGCCCAGGGCCACCGGGAGGTGCAGGTGGAGAGGGCGCAGGAGCCTGCGCAGGTGGTGGCGCTGGCGAGGGAGGCCCATCAGAGTCTCCAGCCCGCCAGCCACCAGGGGTAACGCTTGATGCCCTTCGACGAAGGTGCTCCAGCAGGCGCGCGCTTACGGTGGGCTCCAGGATGCGGCAGGCAGGCAGCAAACGAGTCAGGCGCGCCAGACAGGCACTGTAGCCTTCTTGGTAGCTGTCGCGTGGCGCTGCGGAGGGAGAGAGGCGTGAGACACCCAGGGTGAAAGGTGCAGAGCGCAGGGGACAGGGCAAAGGGTGTGGTAGGCGGGGAGTGGGAGCAGGGTCACTCACGTGGCACTTCCGGGGGGTAAGGGGACGCAGGCAGCTCCTGCAGGAAGCGCACGGTCATTTCCAGAATGTCGGCCTTCTCCAACTTTGAGAAGCGCGAGTTCTGCCCCAGGCCGCGAGGGAGAGGAACAGAGACCAACAAACAAAACAGATCCCTGACAGCAGCCACCAACAGCACCGAGCTCTAGCCGTGAGCTGAGCTCCAGGCGCGCCGGGGTCCTCGGTGGGTCGGCTCCTCAGTGCCTGTCCCGCCGAGGCTTGGCCTTGGGATCCCTGTAGCCTGTTCCTCAGGCAGGAGCACTGCCCGCCCTTGGCGCCCCAGGGCCCTCCACCTCCGCTTCCCGGTTCACTGAACCGCGACGAACCCCTGGGAACTCACCTCCCTGCCCAGCAGAGGCAGGATGAGCCCCTTGAGCTGGCTCAGGCTCTCATTGATGCGTGCGCGCCTGCGCTTCTCCAGCAGCGGCTTCAGGGTCTGTGGGCGCGAGGTTGAGCGCAGCGGCTGCGGTTAGGTGGGTGGCGGTGCCGGATCCCTCCCGCCTCCAGTCCCCAGTTCCTACCTTGCGCAGCTCTGCCGCATCCCCTGCCGGGCGAGGCAGTCCCATGCTCGAAGGAAAGTGGCGGTGGCTGCGGGTCCCGCGCGGGGGGAGACCTGGGTCGGCAGGAAGAGCCGAGACAGAGACCAAGACCGAAGTCCGGGGCGCGGCCAGGGCCCGCGCCAAAGAAGTGTACTGCGCCTGCAGCCGGGTTTAAGTCGGCGGCGTCACCGCCCCGCCCCGCCACTCCCACCTCTCGCCTTTGTTCCTACTAAGGATAAGGTTAAAGGGGAACACGGTGGTGCCCCCAGGGATGCCGCTCCGGGCCTTCCAACCCAGCTGCGGCAGGGGTCACGGAATCCGTGGGCGTTATTGGGCTCATAACAGCGCTGACCCGGTGGGCAGAAAGGGCGGGTGAAGCCAGGCTTGCCCTGGCTCTGGCTGTGGGCCCTGGTCTCCAACGCCGCCCTTCTTCATTCACGCCCCGCAGGAGGACTCAGAGAGTTCTATGAGCGGGGCAGGGACCCAGAGGCTGAAGGCGTGCCAAGGTCAGGGTCTCAGGGAGAGCCCACGAAGATTACTAGGAGACACTCCTGCCACCAGCTGCTCTGAGCTGGGCGGGGAAACTGAGGCCCCGAGAGAGGTCGCGTCTTGTCCTGGCCCTAGCTGTTGGGAACGACCAAGTCAGGACTAGCAGTTAGAGGTTAGACTTCTCTATAAACTCCTCCGCGGCTCGCCAGAGATCAGCTGGTTCCCCACCCTCGGTTTTGGATAGGGAAATTAAGCCTCAAAGGAGGCAACCCAGAACCCCCTTGGAGTTCATTTTTATCTCACCAGGGCTCCAGATTCCCCACCCGCAGGACAGTCGGGACTCACGTGACTAGCAGGCGGAGCGTCCTAGGTGTCGGTTCTCCGCCGCCCTCCTCTGGGAGTGGGGGGCCAGCGGCGCGCCAGGGCACGCCTCCGCGACGCGTGGCCGTTGCTGCTGCAAACTGGCAGGCGTCCCCCGCCCATCTGCTACGGGCTCCCTTCCCCCGATGGGCTGGCGGGGCAACGGCCACCCCTGCGGACCACAATGCAAACTGCGGGGCAGATTGTTGAACGCGCAGTTGGCGGAACCCACCAAGCCAAATCCAGGAGGAAGTGCGATGGGGCTAAGCCAAGGCAGGCTCTGTCCAGGGTGCTGGATGGACCCCTTCTTTCTCCAGCATAGCCCAACCCCCACTTCTAGCCCAGGTCCCTTTCCATAGTGTTCCTCCAACAGGGCAAAAGAAGACCAGCTACCCATCAGGAAGGGGACCCGAAGCAGCCTGGCCAAAAGGAGCTAGGGCCACCCACTCCTGTGTGTACCAAGCAGAGGACCTCTGGTCACAATCCAGGAGTACTTTCTGTGTGCTAAGCTCAGGGCCAAACTCTTTTTCCCCTAACTTCCATGAATCCTCATAACAGTTCCAATTATGAGAATAAAGCATTCAATACGTGTGTCCTAGCAAGGCTTGGGGGTGCCCTGTCCCTCACTCATGGTTGTTTAGATGCCTATGAGCCAGCCTCCTCTAAGGGAATTATTATTTAAGAGCTTTGCAGATCACTCCACTTATGCACCGCAGGCCATATACACTGATGGCCCACCCTGCACCAAAACCTGCATCATTGAGGAGAGACCGATACTGAGGGGAAGGCAGTTCGTCCTGAGACACCCCCCTTCAGGCCTAGGGACACTATTTGAGGACAGGGGGCAGAGGAACACACTCTTTTGCAATGCCAGTTACTCCTGAATTTAAGTCTCTCCCTCACCACTCCCCCATGACTATAAAGGACTTTGGCCAGGTCACTCACAGTTTGCTTCAACCACAGGATTGTGGGGTCTTGTTGCTTATTGGAAGGAGTCCTTTAGAATTGGAGCGACTTAGGTGCGACAGCTGGGTGGACAGGATGTAGGGTGCAGGCTTTAGGTGAGCTAGGGCCTCCTACAGGGCCATGGGGACACAGTCCATCCTGGTCTCCACTCCTGGGAAGTACATTGACTCGTGGGTGGGAGAGAGGCCTGAACTTAGCCTGAACAGTTTTTTCCCACCCACCAGCTGGGCCCTCTCACTCTCTGGATGGGGCCTGTGGTCACTGGGATCTGGGATCTCTTCCCAGCAGTTTCTGGATACCTGACAGCCTCACTACTGTCTGTCATGGTATGGCAGACATGGCATGTCTGTCTCAGATTCCATCAGAGGTGAAAGGAGAGAGTCCTCAAGTTGACACTTAGAAGGTGGGAGGCAATGGGGTGCTCTGGCCAGAGAACTTCAAGTACCAAGGGAAGAAGAGCACAGCAAGGTCAGTGGAGAGTGTGCTTTGCCATTTCCCAGATTTTTGCAGGGGGGCGGGTGGTACCAGGGATTGAACTCAGGGAACCTTGACCACTGAGCCATATCCCCAGCCCTTTATTTTGTATTTTATTTAGAGACACAGCCTCACAGAGTTGCTTAGTGCCTCGCCATTGCTGAGGCTGGCTTTGAACTTATATCCTCCTGTCTCAGCTTCCAGAGCCACTGGGATTACAGGTGTCTGCCACTGTGCCTGGCCTCCCATATGCAACATCTTAGGAGAGATGACTTAAAACAAGCTCCTGGTGCTTCATTTTCCTCTGCTCTGAGATCAGGATAACAGCTATACTTCCTTCAGCCTCCCTGTGTGAATTAATATCCAGGTGAAGCTTGAACTGATAAGTGGCAAGAGTTCCATGCATGTGTCATGTCTTGAGGGGCCTCTTTGGTGTTGCTAGAAAGGACCCAGCAGGCTCAGTGGATGTGGGGGGCCCAGAGAGGACAAAAAGGCCTGGCAGAAAGGGCCAGGCTTCCAGTCTGAGTGTATGCTGTGTCCTCAGGGAATCTGAGAAACAGGTTAACGGGGGTGGGTGCTCATGCCTGGCATTTGTACAGATGTTACTAGCAGAGTGGGAGGGGCCAAGGGGCATCTGCCTTATTCAGAGGGATGGTAGCAGTGTATGTAATAGATGAGGTGTCCATGGCTGGGGGAGGGCACCTTGGGGGTGGAGGACATGAATTGCAGGGATTTGTACTCATGAAGGAGTCACAGGGGAACAGAACTCAAGAAAGACAATTTAGTTCCTCGCTCGGGCTACTTGCTGGCTGGGGGCACTGCCTCTCTGGGCATGCTGGAGGAGAGCAGTCTGAAGGCAGCGAGTGCATTGCTCTGGCCATAACAGACATAGTAGTGAGGCTGTCAGGAATCCAGAAACTGCTGGGAAGAGGTCCCAGATCCCAAGGACCACAGGCTCCATCCAGAGAGTGAGAGGGTCCAGCTGGGTTGAAGTCGTTGGAAACCCACCTGGCCAGGGCACAGTGGCTCTGGTTTTTAGGTCACCAGGGTGCTGAAAGCCACCACGCCTGGCGCCATCAGGTGGCGGCCCCAGAGAATGGTATTGGAGGCAGCCGCAGAGATCAGAAGGAAGACTTCAAGTGTTCCTGGAAGCAGCTTCATTCTACAGCTTATCCAGAGCCGCCTTGTGCCGGCAGGTGCCAGGCGCTGGGTGAAAGTCAGCAGCGGACAGGGGCTGGGCTCTCATGGGTCTCCGATGGGGGTGGGGTGAGGTGGGATGAGAAAGGAAGGGCACAGGCTGTATCAAGGTCGCTCGATATGCTTATTGCGCTTCTTACAGCTACGCAGCCCCCACTTTCTGGCATTTCTGCTCGGGTCCAGAGGTCCTTGCCTCCTCCAGCTCCCACAACCGGTTTCTAGCCACGCCCGCAGGGTTTGGTGCACATGCGCTCCGCCGCCCGCCCTCGGGCGCCTTCCTGCGTCCTAGCGCGGGGTCATGGCATCTTCCTTCTGGATGACGGCGCTGGTGCGTCTCCCGCTGGCCCCAGCCCTCACACCCCCACTTTCTCTTCTGGCTTGGCAGCCCCAGGCCTTCAAGCCCATGGTCGACAGCGGCCCTGCGAGATCTGAATCTGCGGTGTCCAAACCCACAGTTCTGAGCTCACTGGCCACGCCTGTCCTTTCTTCCTTCTCTCTCTCCCTCCCAGAGGACCTGAGGGCAGTGCGTAGGTTTGAAGGCAGAGACTCTCGGGAGCCCTCGAGGGCTTGGTGGGCCTGTTCCTACCTCAGGGCCTTTGTCCTTTCAGACCTCTCCCCTCCACCGGTAATGCATGTCCCTTTTCATCCCCCTAAACCTAGACACTTCCTTCAGATGGATCTTTCTCTGGCCGCTCAAGTCGCCCCGACAAATCACTTCCTATTACCCCCTTTTGCCTGTTCTAATGACACGTGTCATCCCCTGGAACTGCAATCGTCGCTGGCTTGTGTCTCCAGAGCCCACATAGTGGCCAAATGGGCAGATGAATGACTTCCTCTGTGCCTGGACGGCTCTCGAATTCTAGCCCAGTTTTGCGGTCTTTTGGGGCCTCAGTTTTTACGTGAGGCAAATTAGGAAAGAAGCCCTGAATGCACCTGTCCCTGTTACTCGAGTGGTCCCCGCGGGCGGGGGACTCTGGGCCGCGGAGGCGGGGCAAAAAGGGGGCGGGGCGGGGGCGGGCCCGTGGCTTAAGCTGGACGCCCGCGGGGTCCCCGCCCCAGAGTCAGCCGAGGCGGAGCGGAGCGTTAAGCGGTGCAGATCCAGGGCCAGGCAGACAGCCGCTCCGCCTTCCGGGTCCGCACAGCCCCGACGGCCCAGCCACGCGCATGGCACCCCGGGAAACGCACTGAGCGCGGGGTCGCGGCGCCGCGGGCGGCACAATGGCCCTGGAGCAGGCACTGCAGGCGGCGCGGCAGGGAGATTTGGATGTGCTGAGGTCCCTGCATGCAGCCAACCTGCTGGGGCCCTCCCTGCGCGACCCCCTGGACGCCCTGCCTGTGCACCACGCGGCCCGCGCGGGCAAGCTGCACTGTCTGCGCTTCTTGGTGGAGGAGGCAGCCCTGCCGGCCGCGGCCCGCGCACTTAACGGCGCCACACCGGCCCACGACGCCGCAGCTACCGGCCACCTCGCCTGCCTGCAGTGGCTGCTCTCGCAGGGCGGCTGCAGGGTGCAGGTGGGTCCGCTGCTCCCCGAGCGGCTTGGGGATTCCTCCCCAGAGAGGGTTTCCTCCCAGCCCCCCTGGCGAGAGGGTAGGTGGGATTGGGTCCTCCTGGCTTAGCTGAACCCTCCTTCCAAAGAGCTGTGGATGGGGTGGTCTCCCGGGATTGAGTCCTTGGGCAGATGCCCTAGCAAGCCCTGGCCCCTCCCTGGAAGAGCAGTGGGTAGTATTGGAGAAACCGAGGAGAATTGGGCTCAGTGGGCCGGCGTTGCATGGGAGAGACACAGCACTGATCCTGGAGTCCTGGGGGTGGGGCAAAGGGCTTGGATGGCAGAACCAGAAGCCCATGCCCTCCAGGATCAGATCTGGAGGTGGGGATGGGCAAAGTCCCACAGCTCACTTGACGCTGAGATGCAGATGTCCCTAAGCCAGGGTGTGGGGCTAGGGTGATGGGACATGAGAATGTGGTCTCCACAGGACATCAGCACGTTCAGGCCTTCCAGCTCTAAGTTACTTCTCAGCTCCGTCTGGGTCTTCTTGTCCCTAGGCCCCAACTGGTCACTTTGAGGAGTGACCTCCCAGGGGAGTCCTGGCTGATGAGAAGAAGCTAGCCAGGTGAGGATCAGGGAGTTCTGAGCATAGGGACAGGAAGTACCAAGCTCTCAGGTGTACACGTCCTTCTGCTGGAGAACAGCAAGGAGGGAGCATGTGGAGTGAGGTGCAGAGGGGTCAGGCCACCAGGGCCAGGCCGGAGGGTCTCTGGGCTGAGGTGAAGAATTTGAATGATGTTCTGGTTGTGGGGAAAGCCA